TATATATATATATATACACACGTGACGTTGAAGAAAATGTCTGCAGAAAGTATAATTTATTCTATTAAATTGAGTATATACGTACATATAGGAGATTAAATTATATTGTACTCATATACGGGGAGCACTGATAAATGCATATGTATAAAAGCGTAAATATACGTGTATGTACGTCGTACACGGTTATCGAACGCCGTTGCGAGGAAACTTTTATAGTCGGTTAGAAACAAACTATACTCGTGTGATATTACGTTCGTATGTATAACTGCGCGTAGTAACGTTTGCGCGCGACATCGTGGGATATCGATTTTCGAAATACCTGCAAATCCATGGTTTTGCAACGTTCTATTGTGTTATGAGTATAAAACGATAATAAGTTATTATCAATAACCGTACGCGCTTGTGCGTGTGCGTACAACAGTTGTCGTTATTAAAATACGTAATTTGATGAGTTCCGGTGGAACGGTCGATGGTGTGAGGATTCAAATAAACGCACGATACCACATCGAGTACTCCGACGAGGTATATAAATAACAATACAGCTGTGATAATAAAATACACAAATTATAATGTACTCAACTCGTTGAATTAATGCGTTTTTTACTGACACAGAAAGCCCGATAAAACGACCGTTTCAATTGCGCTTGTGAAAATATTCGCATTTCGAATTCATTCATATTTTTTTTTTTACGATACGTTACGCTGTTTTATAGAAAACAATTATGTCACCGACTAATGATTATAATGTTGATATTACGTCAGTATTATCGAGTTGTGTTTGTGTACGAGTAGAAAAATACATTTAAACAGTATATAATAATCAATTGTGTTATTTTGTTCTATTTTACAATAAAAAAAATGTAATAGAAATCGTTAAATACGTCGTTGGTCAACACGTCGCATCGATACGTAAATTCAAAAAGAAATAAGCCTTTATCGAAAGTCCCGTTCAAATATAGCTAGTTATATAAGAGTGTATACAATATAATACTTTTAGATATAATCATAATTTATGGGCAATCACACGGTTATAACATAATAATAATAATAATACTTCATGAGGATATTCAACATCGGGGCAGTGATATCTTTTCATTGTGATCAGGTCTAAAATAATCTGAAATAGAACATGATTCATTATTCGTTTTTACTCGGTTAAATGAATAACATCGTGATTCATCGGTCCGTGTGCAATTGCATAACAGGTAAAACCAGAGTGATAAAAATCGATTAAACTAAAACATCTGAGCGTATCATAGTACATTTGATTATCTGGAGTAAGAAGGCAAACATTGAATAATAACTAACTATTTAATTCAAATATGAAACATAAAATCTAAAATACATTTATCAGTCGTATTCTAAAACCATTATTAGTCACGTATAGCTCTCGAAGGCAGAACCAAGTGTAAAACGATATTAGTATTGACATTGCTTGCTCCAGAAACAGTTTTGTTCCCGCGAGTGGTCATTTCATAGAGTTATCGTAGTCGTACACGTAACAAACCGATTATTTCAACCACAGTCAACCGTGATTTCGGTCTCGCGACGATGGCATGCGAAAACGTGCCCGCGGCGGACGAGATCGAAAGTCATCACGGACAACCGATTGCTCGGGCGTTAATGAAACGATACAACTTAGACGTAACGCTTGCGAGTTCGGTTTATTAATCTTTACCGCGTATTTGCGTATCAAAACGATTCGGATCTGCGATCGATTCGGTCAACACGACGCATTAGATGAAAACGTTCGTTTAAAATATCAATCCGTACCATTCCGTGAACGGGTTCGCTAAACGAACACTGCGACCGTTTCTGCATGATCGATCTCGGTCGCACGTGGATCGATTCACGAACGGTTTACGATGTTCGAGAACCGTGTTGTTCATATAATCCCTTCACTTGTTTGTCTGGAGGTTTTTTTTTTTTTTTTCAAAATCAACACTAACGCTGTTTATTGTCGTTGGTTCACAGACATGTTACGAGATGGAACGTTACCTGAAAGAAGAGCCGATGGTGTCATCGTCGCCCGCCCGTTCCGAATCGCCGTGGTTGACGACGTGGGCGACGCGCGTCGAGGTCGAGGTCGGACTGGACTGCGCGAGCAGCGTGACGTCCAACAGTAGCTCGCCGTCGACGTGCTGGTCCGGTTTCGCCACGCCGCCGCCGAGCCCACCGGACGAAACTGACGTGTCGCCCGCCGTGGTCGCCTCGTTGCTGTCCACGGCCGCGGCCGCGTCCACGTCCGCGGCATCGCCGGCCCGCAGCGCGTTCACCACGGTCGCCTCGGCCTCCGCGTCAGCAGCGGCCGTCGCCGCGGCCACCGCCGCCTCGGCGGCCATCAGCACAGCCGTCGGCACCGCGGCGGCCGCCACCACGACCGCCGGACTGCTGAAGGTCACCGTCGCCCCGGCCGCCCTGAGAACCTCGTCCGCCGTCGCCGCCACCACCACCGCCAATCACGCCGGCACCAACACCACCACCACCACCACAAGCAACGCCAGCACCAACACCGCCACGGTCGGCGGCGGCGGCCGGACGGCGGTCGGCTCTGTGGCCGCGGTTGCGATATCGGCGGCCGCTTCCACGTCGCCGACGCGCCACGAGACCGGTTCCCACGTGCCAGTTCTGTCGATCACCACCACCGCAGCAGCAGCCGCCGCCGCCGCTTCGTACCACCCGCGACTTCACCTGTCGCCGGACGCCACCAAGAAGATACACAAGTGCAAGTATCCCGGCTGCGAAAAGGTGTACACGAAGAGTTCGCACTTGAAAGCCCACCTCAGGACGCATACCGGTAAGTCGTTTCGTTTCAACCTCATGTCTCGTACCGTCTTGTCACTTCTTCTTCTTCTTCTTCTTCTTCTTCTTCTGACCTTCATAACTCTCCAAAAGTTTTTGCCGCCATCAATAAATCATCTCACTTATCTGTACAGCACTTATCTGTATACTTATCTTAACCGTCTTGTCACTAGTTTTATTTATTTCTCTGGCGGCCACGCAAACCACGGTAGACGTCCCAGTTGCCTCTCGTGTCCATTACTGTTCGTTTGATCGACTGCAAACATTATTCCGTACGTTTTCCGCGCTAATTCCGCGACGGCGTTCACCGGTGTTCCCGGGACATCGGACGTCCGGGTCCTAATTGGTATTGATGCCGCGACGTATTGAAGTGCTTGCTTTGCGTCCTTCGCGTGCACCCGGGCAGGGGAACGCGTCCCGTCGAAAAACGATTGCTGAAAACGCAATTAGTGCACACTGCTCCGCGCGTTCTCTCTATTTCGACTGCTGAAACGTCGTGAAATATCGCGCGGTCGGTCGTCTCGAAACCGTACACCGATCGATAATAAAACGCGGCGTGTATTTTAGCAGGACTCGTGTTCCGCAAACCGGCCGACCGATTTCCGATCGAACGTGCCTGCGGGAATAGCCGTCCTCCGAGTGTTCTACGATTTGCCGGGAACGCGATAAAGTCAGCTTATCTCCTACGCGTTGTACAAAGCCGTAACGACCTTTTTCAGTGGACCGTTTCGATCCGGTTGGGAGTTTACATTATTCTGTAACAACCGAAGCTTTTAGAGGTTTATGCGAACAAGTTGTTTATTTGTATCTCACCGGGCCGCCATCGCCGCCGCCACATGTATAATTCAGATCGCGCACGTCCCGGGAAAATACAGGGTGTCCGGGACGTGGTGAAGGGTTGCAAGTTTTTGTGAGGCTCGAGCGGATACAACCCCTGCAGTCGTTGCAGGTAAATTTCGAACGTGCGAGTGTCCGTACGTACGTGTGTGAAAATGTGTTGACCTAACCGTCGTTGGTAGGAGTTTTCTCTTCTTTTTATTCATTTTCTTATTATTATTATTGTTATTACTATTTATTTCTTTTTTATGGGAAAGCCCGGCGGACACTTTCCTTATAATTTAAATCCCGTCCTCTTGCGCTCACCCGTGCGTCACGAATGTTTGTGGTTGAAATCCCTTATGATTTCTAATCCCTCTCTAGCACAATCCGTAAGCATATTGGAATTTACTTAAAACAGACGAACGATTGATTGCTTCGTTTAGATATCATTTTCATTCGGAAAAAATTGAACATGTACTTTAGACATGCGTAGGGAAGTACGCGTGAACGTTAGTTTTAAATATCTATCACATTTTTTAAAATTTTTTTTTTAATTAATTTAAGCATTAATCATTGTTGATTTTATTCAAACAATTAAATCCATTCCCTATTTACTAATGATTTTTACGCAGAAAACAATAATTTACAATAATAAAATTATATAATAATAAACAATAAAAATTTTTGTAATTTTTATGAGATTAATTTATTTATTCAGAATCAATGAAATTCGTTACAAATTGATAGGAAATTGTATTTTCTTCAAATTTCTATTATGCTGTATTATTAACCGACTTCTGGAATAATCATTTTAAAATCTTTAAAATAAGTTAGAAAATCCTATAATTATAGGATTTTTGTCTGATACGTTTCTTACGTATGAGCTCAGAAATAATCTAATCTACAAAGTAGATTTATGTTTATTATAAGCCAATTTTAGTGATGCACTTTTACCTACCACCTACTACTAGTAATAATTCTCTATTCATATATTTACGTAGACATTATCTTTGATGTTTCATCCTCTCTCTTACTCTCTCACTATCTTTTTATTTCCGTCTCTCTCTCTCTCTCTCTCAAGAGTATAAAAAATTCACTATATCCCTCACAAAGCTTTCGTTTGTTGATGCTGCACGTTCATGCAAGCTATCGTACGTTCATCGCAATTGTGTTGTTGACTAACCGTCTGAATGCTGCTGCTAGTGTTGCTGTTGTTGTTGCCGGTGCGTATAGTATGCGAATTAAAACGTGGTTAACGGGGCGCATCAAAGGAAACCCTTTTAATAATAACGATGAACAATGAATACTTAATACTATTATTAAAGATTATACTAGTTTAATTTGGTGTATGTGCGTACACACATGTATATATATGATTTGTGTACTTATAGTATCTAAAATGTATATGTGTAGTAAAACGTATACGTGACACGCATGCACATTTCACATACGGGGTGTACAGGAAATTGCTGCAAAAATATTGAGGCACATAGAGGTGTGTTTGAACTCATGTTTACATATGACTATATGTATTTAATAAATTTACAATGATGAAAGTGAAACATTTTATTCGATTCGATCGATGTAAAAATATATGTTAAGCATATTGTGCTTCTGAGAAAAAGTCCACGCGGGACCTGTATTTTTTTTCTATTATTATCCAAAGTATATACATTTATATAGAATCCTTATGGTATTTTTAAACATAATCAATACAGATTATAATTTCGTACAAAATAAGTTTTATAATTGTTTTTTTCTTTCGCTGACAAGCTGATGAGAATTTTGATTTCGAAAAGTGTTCAGTAATACATCCCTTGACTGTTCGATGTTTAGGCGTGTTAGAAAGTTTTGGATTTACCGACAAATGACGTTTAGGATATTTCGTTGGTTACGGCAATAAAGAATGATCAAAGCAAAACGCTAATGCATTCATTATTTTCCCTGTTATTATTGCTGGGTATCATATCCATTCAGACCTCATTAACGACATATTATCAATGATATTTTATACCGTTTTCTCTTTTTCGGCTACCACCAATATTACATTTACCGATGCTGATCGCTGTTTAGACCCTAATATACACAATACGAGTATTGTATTCATGTCGCACAAAAACCATTCCTAGTCTCGCAGAGAACACCCTATTCGTGGACGAGTCTAGAGTGAAGTTCGCGCATAAACAGTATCGCATATATAACATCTACACGCATTATTCGTGACGCAATCACGCGGAAACAAACGGTCTCGTTACGGGTGCGGAAAATTCGGCCGCGGGTCGACGTGAAGTATCATATTATTATGCGGTCGACACCGCGTGCTACAGCGTTCGCCGCACGGTAGTGGTCGGCTGGCCGGGGATGAAAATAAAAACTAGTCGTCTTTTACGGCTTATACGTGAATCGTTCCGTTCAAGTGGACATTAGATTAAGAGAAGCCCATCGTGCGGGTAACACGCCGTAGGTAAGTGCATTAAGCGAACTCTAAACCCACCCCGTGCCGAATGTTTCCCCACTCCCTCTCTCTCTATCACTCTCTTTCTCGCTATCCTTTTGCCGAAATAATTCCTCCTACTACTCTCTTGGTATCCTTCAAGATAATGCTGATCACCTATGATATTATAATACAGCATCTAGGTTCTTATTGTACGAGACAAAAAACAATTCATGAGCTTTTGAATTACCCCTGTTTTATTTTGGCTGGATTTCAGCGTTTGCAGTTTACAAATCCTTAAAAACTTTGCATTATTTATTTTATGATCTTCCCGCGCCCAGCAGATCGTCACGTGCTGTCATCACATATGACATGCGAATTTCATTAAAGCCTGAAAATTTTTATCGTTTTACTTATGCAGCTTTTCGCTTAATTATCTAATGATATACTAACGATGAATATAAAAAAAAAAAAAAAAGTAAATGTGTTGAAAATATGTACTACAATTTTCGAAACTATGTTTTGGTTTTATTTTTTGTCGTTGACTTTCATTTAGAAAAAAGTATATAACGGTGATCCGTAGAAATGACGTGTTTTCGAGATAAAATATAAGTAATATGATATGTATGTAAATATTTTATTTTTTTATGAAATATTCAATTTTACCGGCCGTTATTGATTTTCAAAGTATTTATAAAGTATACATAATTTAGTGTCAACAATTAAAAATCTATTTTAATTTCACGACCTACTTAGATATTATTTCTAGATAAATAAATATTAAAAGTGTTATATAAATCGATGTTAGAGTGTTTATTTATTTTTCGAACCATCAAACGACGTTCGAGGTCAATTGATCAGCTATAGGCTTTAAAAAAAAAAAAAATTACTTGTTATTCTATATTTTCACTTCGAGAGTCGTCATTTATTTTCTTAGGGACCATTTAAATTTGTGTTTTCCGTAGAAAAATGAATATAATAGACTGAACTCGTTATGTTTCATAACAATGTTATGTTAACGTGAGGTTTAACTTTAAGGTACACAATTGTTAACATAGAATTCATATAAAATATATTTTCAGGCAATTGAGTATTTCAAATTCATTATTCAATCATTTGAATATCTCTTGTGCCTTATTTATGTAAATAATGTAGTTGACAAATGATTACAAAAAAAAAAAAAAAAATCGTATAAAACAATGATACAATTTAGTCGTTGTTGAATGAAAATGTTAACTAATAACAATAAATTTACAATACATGTTCTAAGATAAATTAATATATATATAATTAATAATATAATTATAAGCTTTGCCGTGAAACCGCTATGATTAGCGTCAAAAATATTTTATAGTAAAAATATAAAATGACATTACCTTTTTTTTTTTGTGCGTTTAGCTGTAGTGTCGATAGAGTTACGTATTATAATCTACGAGCTCGCTTACGAGGCCTGTTTCTGCGAGCACGGTTATTTACGTATAAATTATGTATATACCTACATATTTATATATCTACCTATACCTACTTAAATGTATGTTATATATATATATATATATATATATATATATATATATATATATATATAAATGCAGGAGTGACGCTTGACCGAACCTTTTAAAAATAAATCTCTGAATGTGAATCTTTTAAAATATAAACATACGGTGGCGTTAGTAGATCCAGTGAGGAGTGGTGGTGATGGTTGTGGTGGTGTTGGTGAAGTGATAGAGGGTATGTACGTGCGG